CCAATCCCTGGCTGGGCGGGCTACCTGCCCAGAGCCAGGGTCACTGAACTTGGCTGTGCCACGCGGTACACGGTGATGGCCAGAAACTGCTACAAGGACTTCCTGGACATCATGGAGCAGGCCAAGAGAGCGCCCCTGAAGCCATATGAAGAGTAAGTCTGTCTAGGCTCATCACTCCCTGCCATCGAGTTGGATTTGACTCATAGCGACCCCTCCTTGGGTTTCTGAGCTAGTATCTCTACGAGAGTAGACTGCCCAACCTTCCTTCTGAGGAGTGGCTGGTGGTCTGAACTGCCAGCCTTCTTGTTAGCAGTCAAGTGCCTTGGGCACTATGCCACCAGAGCTCCCGGCTCAGCTCATAAGCACAGGTAACAAGAACAGTTAAAGAGCAGAACCTGGGCCAGGGGTTTACCAGATGCCTTGCTTCCAGGGCTTGCCCTATTTCTCTGTCTGGTTTCTCGTATTGCCTTGTTTGTAACTGCTGGGCCTTCCCAGTAGGCAGCCACCCTCTGCTCCGCTCCCCACCCACACCCCAGCAGCCCCCAGCAGCCCCCAGCAGCCCCGCCTGTGGTCTTTGCTGGGCCGCAGGGAGGGGCCAGGAATAAAAGGCAGCAGCCAGAGCAGCAGGCCTCTGGGAGCAGCCCAGGGCCCCAGGGTGTTGGTGAGGGAGGTGGCAGGCGATCCTGGGGCACTGTGTAAGATGGCACCCGTGGCTTCAGTTTTCTCTTCTGTAAAATGGGATGATCAATCTCACCCCAGGATAGTTGTAAGGGTTAGAAAGAAACAGAACATGCTTGCGTAGGACACGAATAGACTGGGCTTCCTCTTCTGGTTAGTCCAAAGGACTGACTGACTTTTGTTCTCTCTTTAGAATCTATGGCGTTAACACCACCCAACCTCCTCCTGCTCCTCCTCCCAAAGGTTTACAGCGTGATCAGCAGCTGCCAAAATACCCAGACTTTTCTATTCCAAGTAAGGAAGGCCTCTTTCTTTCCATATGTTTATATAAATTTTTAAACAAAAATTCCATTTGCAGTGGCCTTTCTGCTTAGCGGGCCATCTGTCTGCCAACAACTCCTGCGGATGTTTCTCTTCCAGGTGGAAGCTGTCCTGCCCTTGCAAGACCCCTGCCAGCAGACCCCCTACCTCCAATGGGATGTGGCTACTGCCGGAGGGTGACTACGTCAGGCAATGGGAAGATTTCCCTAGAGCCGCTGTCCCCGGCAAGGTGTGCAGAAGGCTGGAAGTTCTGTCTTTAGAGCACAGTGAACCTCGAGGTGGGCTCCAAAGCCTGCCAGTCTCACATCAGGATCAGTCCCGACCCACACTCCAGCAGGCAACAGGGAAATGCGATAACACAAGAATGCTTATAACTGCCACCTGCACCCTGAGCAGCTGGCAATGAATGACATTCATGATACAGATGATAGAAAGCTTCATTATATAAATTAATTTAGACCTTTCACTGGAGGAGGACTACTCTCCAGCATGCTAAAGGTTTCTGCATGTTTGTGG